ATTCGTTCTTATATGATTACATTTTGAAATGCATTCACCTGGCAGTGTACACAATACTTAGCCTGGTTAAAACCAGACCATTCTCAGTTGTAACAAAGCGTCATAGACAAATAATTTCCAGAGAGGCATCACCAGTGGACGTCGCCGGTAGACCTAAAACCAATCAGAGCGATGAAGGACATGTTGTTCTCCACATCTCGTCATCATCGTGTAAAGCCCGCCCCAACGTTTCTGATTGGTGCCGCGATTTCTGCGGACTGGAAATGGGTTTGAATGAGCTCTTTGCCAGACTAACTTTCAGAGCAAATCTAAATTTGCCGGAAGTTGTCTGGGTTTTCCCAGGCTACATAATACTCGCTATCCACTGCAGAAATAGGGTTTGAAGGTTTAAATCAAGGCATATATGCTGGTCTAGCATGTGAAGATGACTCTTAAAGTCCCCATGTATCTTTGATCACCAAAATTACACATTTAAACGTTTTTTCCCCCCTTGAAATTTCTTAATTTCTTAAAATAGCTTGAATGTAACTCGACACCCTTGCCTCATGTAGTATACATGGTTCTATGAATATGCACATGAGCCCCACCTCCACTCACTCCACTCACTCAGCGATCCACTGATTGACGATCACACGTTGATCTGATTGGTTACAAAGTCGTATGTGACGTCAGAAACACCAGCGATTTCAAACCGTATTTTTGAGACTGTCTTTGGTTCACTGTAGCCTAGAAATCTAGATGCACCCTAGCGGCAGCAAAAATTATTTTGCAGCAAAGTGTGATGTAGCATCTTGATGTAGGTGCCATGCCAGGCTAGGTTCACTGCAGTTTAAGCAGAAAATACTCAGCAATGCTGTCGACTTATGAATTTACACATGGTTTGTCTTAGCACATTAAAAACACCACATAAACATTGCCACACATAACACAACATAGACCAAACTGGATTTTCAATGTAGGCTAGACTTGATTTGCTGAAACGGCTCATGAACAAGGACAAATGTCCTTCAGAGAATGAGACACTCAGCCCTCAGTTCTTTGAACATGAGCACTTTAGAAAGAAGCAGAGTTTCAGTGTGGAAGGAGAAGTGCGAACTCTACAGCCACCAGAGGGAATCAGTGAGCACACCGGCGGTCACAACTCACACATGAGTCTACTGTCTGAACATATGGCAAGCCGTTTTAGCTTAAATTGTACCCAGCTTTACTCGTCATAATTTCATTCTTACTAGTAACAATTCAATTAGAGAGCTCTACAATTCAATTCTTACTAGTAACAATTACAATTAGAGAGCTCTACAATTCAATTCTTACTAGTAACAATTAAAATTGTAGAGCTCTCTAATTCATTTATTACTAGTAAGAATTACAATTGCAGAGCTCTCTAATTCAATTCCAGAGCTAATGGCATTCTTACTAGTAAGAATAGCTATTGTAGAGCTCTCTAATTGAATTGTTACTAGTAAGAATTGAATTCGAGAGCTCTCTAATTGTAATTTTCACTAGTAACAACTCAATTAGAGAGCTCTACAAGTATATTTGTTACTAGTAAGAATTGAATTGTAGAGCTCTCTAATTGGAATTGTTACTAAGAATTGAATTCGAGAGCCCTGTAATTACATTCTTACTAGTAACAATTCAATTCGAGAGCTCTGTGATTTAATTAAAGGGTGCCCTAAAACGTCGGATGTTGACGTATGTTCAAAAGCGTCAGTTAGATGACATATGGACTGGGCAAGCATGTACTGGTCTGTATGGACAACACTGCGGCCGCTGCATACATCAACCATCATGGTGGTCTATGCTCCTGTTGCATGTCACAACTTTCCCGGTCATCTTCTCCTATGGAGTCAGATGCATCTGAGGTCTCAACATGCCACTTATAGAGAGCCTAAGTCCCCCCCCCTTCCGGTCGACCACCATGGGATCTTATTTTGGAAAAATATTGAATGGTAGTCAATGGCGAGAGACAACAAATATTTTGATCTCGTTTGAATTGTGCCCTGAATTACACATATGATGTTTGTCAATTTAAAAGATACATTTTAAAGTAAAGAAAGTCGCAGTTTGATGTAAAACCGTTGAGGTATAAGACTGTGAAAATACGTAATTACAAAGACTACAAACCCCAAAGGCGCACATTTTCTCTCAATGAATGAAGCTAACTTATGAGGCTGTCTGTCATTGTTTCTACAGTCTTACGTTATAATCGTAACGTTACGCCGTCCTACCTGTTTTGTACCAGACTGCACACACACGAGCAGCGGATCTCGTTTCGCTTCCCGGGAGATGTAGTTCATAGAGCGATTTTCACATAAAACTAAATGTTACTCTTCTGTTGTATGACAAACTGCGACGTTTTTGACTTTCAGAATTATCTTTTAAATTGACAAACATCATATGTGTAATTCAGGACACACTTCAGACAGAATAAAAGGATAAGTTGTCTCTCGCCATTGACTACCATTCATATTTTTTCCGAAATAAGGTCCCATGAGCCGGAAGCGGAGGGGCGGGACTTAGGCTCTCTATATCCCCAACCGTGCTGCCGACAAGCTCTCATAGCAGCAGGTGCTAGCGGGAGAATGGGGACTCCATCCCCAGGTGGTCCAGCTGATGGGAGCGCACAGGTAAATCTGTTTGCCGCCCCGGACACGTCGCACTGCCAGTTGTTTCATTCCCTGACTGAGGGGTCGGATGCTCTGGCCCTGGGGTCTATGCAAGTATTTGTTTTCCCCAGTGAGCCTTCTCACACAAACACTGTGCGAAGTCAAGGAGGACGAGGAGTCTACTCTTGCTAGTTGCACCTTACTGGCCCAACCGGACCTGGTTCCCAGAACTCATGCTCCTCGTGACAGCCCCTCCATAGCCCATTCCTCTGGGAAAGGACCTTCTTTCTCTGAGATGGAGCACCCTATGGCACCAACATCCAGACCTCTGGAAAGTGGTCCCTGGACGGGATGCAGAGGTTCTAGGTGACCTACCCCAGGGAGCGGTAGACACCATCACTTCCACTAGAGCCCCTTCTATGCCTTTATGTGTTGAAGTGGAACCTGTTTGTTGAATGGTGTTATTCTCACCAGGATAAACCCCGAACTTGCTCGATCAGAGCAGTGCTTTCCATTCTGCAAGATAGGTAGGGGTGAAGACTGTCTCCCTCCACCTTCAATGTGTACTATGTTGCCACTATCACCCCACATCACAGTTCAGTCTAGGGTAAGTTATTGGAGAAGCACGACCTGATCGTCAGGTTCCTGAGGGGGCAAGAACACTAAATCCTCCTCGCTCGATACCCTCTTGGGACTTGTCTCTGGTGCTAAAGGCACTGCAGATACCACCGTTCAAGTCCTTGCAGTAAATTCTGTCTTGGAAGACAAAACAGTGCTCCTGGTTGCATTGACCTCAATTAAGAGGGTAGGGGACCTGCATGCATTTTCGGTCGACGAATCGCGTCTGGAATTTGGCCCCGCCAACTCTCACGTTATTCTGAGACCCCAGCCCAGATACATGCCCAAGATTCCTGCCACTCCTTTCCAGGACCAGGTGAGGAACCTGCAAGTGCTGCCTTCGGAGGAGCACTTGGCTTTTCTCTGTCCCATTCGCAGAGCAGCTCTTCGTCAGTTACCGAGGCCAGCAGAAGGGAAAGGCTGTCTCAAAGCAGAGGATGGCCCACTGGATAGTGGATGCCATCACCTTGCCCTATGAGTCCTGAAGTGTGCCTTACCCGCTCTGGTTAAGAGCCCTCTCCACTAAGAAAGTGGCTTCTTTCTGGGCGCTGGCACATAGCGCTTCACTGACAGACATCTGTAGAGCTGTAGGCTGGGCAACACCAAACACATTCCCCAGATTCTTAAGCATATGTGTAGAGCCGTTTTTCCCGTGTGCTCATCTCAAGTAGCCACCAACACCGAAGTACCCGCTCTAGTACCAGCTTGCAGCGCCATTCGGATTCAAGTTCCCCACATGAATCCTGTCGAGTTCCTCCACACCCCTCGACAGTTAGATGTTGCGGAAAGTCCGATGCCAGGCCTTGCACTTGTATTGTTAAACCTGTGCTAAGCTGGGTCCAATACGTTATGATCCCTACGGCGATCCCATATGTGTTTTCTTCCACGATCAGCTCCCTGTGGTGAGTCCGTGTCTTTCCCTTGGATCCTATGTCCAATATATGGGACATGGGATAGGTTACGTTTCTGTGTTAATGACTACATTACTAAAAACAAAAGTAAGAGAAATATAACTTTTAAAATATAAATAAATGTAATGCGTCATATAAAATTCTGAGAACATCCTGTTACTGTTTTTCATTGTAAATAAAGGTCATGCTTTTTTACATAGAAAAGCAAAAACATTCATTAATGAATATTTAATATGTATGGTAATGTAAAGTAAATGGACAATTAACATTACTGTAGCATTTTTACCTGATTAAAAAAATATATTTTAATAAATTATCTAGTTATTAGTAAATTCCCTTAAGTAGCTGCTCTTTAGAGACTGAATTTGACGTGAGATCATTTCTTTAATTTAATGAGAGGAAAACACACAGCACAGGTCAAAGGTAGAGGGGACAAAGTATTCCCTTAAATACACATGGCTACTTTTGTCAATTTGCTTAGCGCAACTCTGCTTTCTACCACAGGTAAATGCTGCATGTCTGTCTCTGTTATGGACTTTTTTCTGTCATTCTTTTTTTAAATTTATTATTATGTAACTCACAATAAAATGAATACTTGAGATAAATACGTAAAATATATCCAAAAATCTATATAATCAACAGTCTCTTTGTAAGCAAACTGGACGACTTGCAAACAAACAACTTTCTATTGGCTAGACTAATGTTTGTGTCCAGAGCTCATGGATTGATTGTTTTGGAACAGATTGTCCACCATAATAAAATGTTAAAACTGGGATCTGAAGTCAAATTGTGCACCATCATGTGAAGGTCTCTGTGAAGGTCTCTTATCATTGGTGTGGAGTTGGACTAGTGATTCAGAGAATTCTGCTTGTTGTCGAGGGTGTCTCAAATGAGTAAACATTTGCATTAAAGCTGCTGAATACCAACTCACCATATTTGGACAGGTGGAGATAGAGAAAGAATTGAGCGATAAAGCAGTGAGTAAATCATTACAGGGGCGGATAGAGTCCAGTGGGAACATTTCTGAACCCTTGCAGTCCAACACCGTTGGGTTTCCAGAAGAGCAGCGACGTTCATGACACTATGACGCGGGACAAGATCTTGGTGGTTTTTGCTTTAGCTTGGCTTTACTGTTCAACGGGACACGGACAAACTGACATTAGCATCCCGTGTGACGATAAACAGGTGGAAGATGTTGTCAATTTAACTCTTTCCAAACATAACGAGATATTAACCGAAGGCGCTCAACTGGCTCTCTATGAAATCCTGGAGGCTACAAAGGTATGTCTCTTTGCATTCAACAATATTTTGCAGATCTACGCAACTTTCTTTAGTCCAACACTGTAATTTTCACAGGCTCAGAATGAGTCGGGGTACGTTCTGTTTGTGCGCTTCACGAGCAGAGAGAGCGACTGTCCCGCGGCAGGAGACAAGCTTTGGCATCAGTGCGACTACCTGCAGCGAGTGGACACGGTGAGATCTGACGAAGTTATCCACGTCAACTTGTACATTCATTATCGCAAAATAAACCTCAACATTTAGAAACAGCTATGAAAGAAATCTAGAGAATATCAGTTATACAGGTTATAATTTACTAATACAACATTTTGATTGCACAATGCCACTATTGACCAATCACGATCAATAATCTAGCCTGACAACAGCCTTCCATGACCCTAGTCACACTCACATTATATAGGGGTGTAGCGGTACACATAAGTCAAGGGGGATAGGTTTTAACCCAACTTTGGGTCAAATATGGACAAAACCAGCCATTGGGTTAAATTTTTTAATTACAATTTTTAACCCAACGTTTGGGTTTGTCCATATTTGACCCAAAGTTGGGTTAAAGCAACCCAGCATTTTTAGAGTGTAGTGAGTTATGGGTTGGTAGGTCGCACTCCACTCCACAGAAGTCAAGGGTGATTAGCGCTACACTGTAATGGTGTGTTCACACCGAACGCGAATAGAGCGTCAAATACGCATCTATCGCGTCTAGTTGGACGCTTGAACATTCGCCCGAGTTCAAATTTTTCAACTTGCGTGGAAGATATTCGTGGCAAACGCGTCGCCCAATTCGCGTCATTCGCAACGCCTGGCGCTAATGATGCTTCTATTCGCATCCTTGCATTGACTTTATATGTAATCTACTTTAATAATTAAACTCGCGTTCGGTGTGAACACACCATAAAAAGGCTGGGTTGTTTTAACCCAACTTTGGGTCAAATACAGACAAAACCAGCTATTGGGTTAAATTTTTCAATTACAATTTTTAACCCAACGTTTGGGTTTGTCCATATTTGACCCAAAGTTGGGTTAAAACAACCCAGCCTTTTTAGAGTGTAGTGAGATATGGGTTGGTAGGTCGCTCTGCACTGCAGCTCTCGCAAAATGATTTATTAAATTGACTTAATAATAACAATAATTTCTACATAAAGACTTTTCCTTGCAAGTTGGATTAGTTTTGTTTATACTCATCGGCTACAAGATGAATATATCGGCCACCATATTGGCATCGCCACATACAATTATAGCGTGAACGTGTTTGGGATCCGGCTTTTAATGGTGATACTTTTGTAATCAGTCTCTCAAAATGATAAAAAAATTTTGGATTTAGATTTATCGGCCAATATATCGTTATCGGCTTTCAAACAGAAAGAGTTATCGGATCATATCTGTTCATATCGGTGGATCCCTGTTCAGGAATAGTTGGTTTGAAAAACGGGTTGTGCGTAGCCTCCGCTGTCATCGTCTTTGCGCGTGAGGGTTCATTAACATGCGGATGCACAAAGTTCAATATGCTTTTTCATGAAATACCAAATCGCCACAATGCCAAATGTTTTTTGTCTCATTTTAACAGCAAAAACATGAAATAGATACAGATAAGAGTGAGAAACTGTAAAGGTACACTCACAATAAAAGCAAAACATTGTGCTTTCATAAAATAAAGAAAACAAACTCAGTTTCCTTTCCCTGAAGTTTGCGTAGTGCGTCGCTAAAATGGAAACTGAGCATATAGGCTATTAGTGATCTCTTGCGTGCCACCTGAACGCTTGCCTTGGGTTGGTGCGTAAATCGTCTTTTCTTCTGCTCTTTTTCCTGTTATGGCGGTTATGCATTACTGCACGCCCCCCTCCTGGACGAGTGTGACTGACTGAATTTGTCACCTGACGGTTCGGGACAAAGACATGTACCGTTACACCCCTACATTAGCATGGCTTCTTATCAATGAAATAACTGTCTTTCTTGTCTTGGGATAATGTACATGTTGTGGTTCCTCAGGCACTCAGGATCTGTCATGCAAAAGTCCTGTTTACAGAAGCTGGTCAAGAGCTACTGGTGCATGACTGTTCAGGTATGGTGTATTATGGCTGCCAGCTGATTGCTTCATCGCATGTCTCATTTCTTTTATATCATTAGCACTTTTATGCCTTAAAAATGCGAAACAGCTCTGGTGCTGTTCTTGTGACTTTTTATTTACTATATTTTAGTACAATAATGTTTTTTTTATTTAATATTTTGTATTTTTAAGTGATTTATAGTACTAAAATATATTTATGCAGTAGTTAGAATCCATTTAATCACTTTTTGAGCATAATCCTGAAAGTGAATTTCAAGTTTTTTTGAGTACAGAGTGAAGCTTGGTCTTTTTTTACAGATGACACTTTCAGATTATTGCTGAAGTGAAAGAAGTTTTTTTTTTAAGTGAACTTGAAAAAAAAAACTTGTTAATTACTGTAAAATGTATTTATTGTTTATATTTTTATATGAAATATATATTTTCCAAAACATGTTTTACTCAAAAACTGTAAGAAAACAAACATATAAATCTAAAGTTGCGTTCCAAAAATGAGCTTTTAGTGAGATTGTGTTAGTGTGCAGTACCAAACGCTTCCACTAGATGAAATTTTTTCTCCCATTTATTTCACATGCACTCATTTTGACCGGGCACACAAGTGTGACTATTTCTTTTAGGACCATTTAACCTTTTTGAACCATGTCTATGAATTTTTTGTGTGTTCAAACTGTAAGTGGCAAAACCTTTACCAAGTTTCGTACCATTCCGATAAAATAAAAAACAACAACATTTTTTTTTTTAAAGTTTCAGTCAAAAATGCCCAAACAGCACCAGAGGGTTAATATGACTTGTGACAGAAAAGATAAATGTCCCAAAATGTCTCCTTACATAAAACATTTACAAATACTTATATCAGCAGTTTAAAAATGCGATTCCCATTTCAATGGTAACAATGGCTTCTCTGATTGGTCGATCTGTGTTGAGGATTTTGGGTAGTGTAGTTTTTCCATGAACTAGTATTAGTAACAGTATTTTTTTTTTTTTAAATAACTCACACTTTTTTCTCTCTCTTTCCTAAATCTCTCTGTCAGCCGAGCCAGCTATTTCCTCTAAAGTTGCCCACTGTCTGGGCTGCCCTGAAAAGATGGACTTACATCAAGAAGAACTGAGAGAACCGCTCATTCACTCTTTGACCAAAGCCAACAACATGGTCAATAGTGTGCATTTATTCATCTTTAAGGACTTGAAATCAGCAACAAAACAGGTACAGTGCTTCATCCCGTGATCCTGTAGCTAGAGCGTGGCACTGGTGTAAAAGGTCCGGTGGGCTTCTGTGTAGAACCTTGACTCAATTATAATGTTAAATTTAAAAATGTTAAATAAGGAGAAATGTCATTAAATGATTGCATAATAAATTCATCTTTAACTTTTTTTTGCATTAAAAAGTATAGTAACAAGTTGTTTAATCAATAAAATGAAATAAAGTTTTTTTTACAGTCTAGTTATTAATAATTAAAACTAAATCCATAAAATGGTCGCATGATGTTAACCCCTATATATGAAGTGCAAGACAGAACCCTTTATGGGATAGACATTTTTAAGTCAGTCGTAGAACTGTTTCCTCTAAGAGTGTGTAGCAACACAAAGGACCAACGTGTGTCTTTGGGTGGATGCATAAAACATGAGCTTAAAATCACCTCATTTAATCCTTTGACCTTTTTATTGTTGAACTGGGCTGCGGTGTTAATGTTGTGGTGTTGTGGGTCTTCTCTATGTGTAGGTGGTTGCTGGATTCAGGTATAAATTGCAGTTTGAAATGGAGAAGAGCAACTGCACCAGGATAGAATTCAAAGTGGTTACCGAGGAGTGTCACTCGATGCAGGAGAAGACGGTAAGGCACTTATATTTATTTGAAATAGAAATCCGTTATAACAATACAAATGTATTTAATGCATCCTTGCTGAACGAAAGTGGTAATTTCTTTAAAACCAAAAAAAACTTACCTCAAACTTTTAATATTAAACAAAATTATCTATTAATTTAGTCTGAGATGGCACAATACATTTTAGTAACACTCAAAGATGTTCTTTGTCTGACAGAATGTTAAAAATCTTTATATACATAAATGTAAATTATTACGAACCATTCAAGGAAAGTTCTTTGTAAGAATTTGTGAAAATATACTTGATAATTCAAATATAGTTGTTTATGGAAGCTTGTTTCCGCCACTGAATAAAAAATGAAAAGAATTCTGATGCTTTTCTCGCAATTGTGAGTTTCTATCTCGCAATTCTGACGCTTTTCTTGCAATTGCTAGTTTCTATCTCCAAATTCGGACTTTTTCTCGCAATTGTGAGTTTCTATCTCACATTTCTGACACTTTTCTCGCAATTGTGAGTTACTCTCTCGCAATTCTGATGCTTTTCTTGCAATTGCTAGTTTATATCTCGCAATTCTGACTTTTTCTCTCAATTGTGAGTTACTCTCTCGCAATTCTGACACTTTTCTCGCAATTGTGAGTTACTCTCTCGCAATTCTGATGCTTTTCTCGCAATTGTGAGTTACTCTCTCGCAATTCTGATGCTTTTCTTGTAATTGCTAGTTTCTATCTCCAAATTCGGACTTTTTCTCGCAATTGTGAGTTTCTATCTCACATTTCTGACACTTTTCTCGCAATTGTGAGTTACTCTCTCGCAATTCTGATGCTTTTCTTGCAATTGCTAGTTTCTATCTCCAAATTCGGACTTTTTCTCGCAATTGTGAGTTTCTATCTCACATTTCTGACACTTTTCTCGCAATTGTGAGTTACTCTCTCGCAATTCTGATGCTTTTCTTGCAATTGCTAGTTTATATCTCGCAATTCTGACTTTTTCTCTCAATTGTGAGTTACTCTCTCGCAATTCTGACACTTTTCTCGCAATTGTGAGTTACTCTCTCGCAATTCTGATGCTTTTCTCGCAATTGTGAGTTACTCTCTCGCAATTCTGATGCTTTTCTTGTAATTGCTAGTTTCTATCTCCAAATTCGGACTTTTTCTCGCAATTGTGAGTTTCTATCTCACATTTCTGACACTTTTCTCGCAATTGTGAGTTACTCTCTCGCAATTCTGACGCTTTTCTTGCAATTGCTAGTTTCTATCTCCAAATTCGGACTTTTTCTCGCAATTGTGAGTTTCTATCTCACATTTCTGACACTTTTCTCGCAATTGTGAGTTACTCTCTCGCAATTCTGATGCTTTTCTTGCAATTGCTAGTTTATATCTCGCAATTCTGACTTTTTCTCTCAATTGTGAGTTACTCTCTCGCAATTCTGACACTTTTCTCACAATTGTGAGTTACTCTCTCGCAATTCTGACGCTTTTCTTGCAATTGCTAGTTTCTATCTCCAAATTCGGACTTTTTCTCGCAATTGTGAGTTTCTATCTCACATTTCTGACACTTTTCTCGCAATTGTGAGTTACTCTCTCGCAATTCTGATGCTTTTCTTGCAATTGCTAGTTTATATCTCGCAATTCTGACTTTTTCTCTCAATTGTGAGTTACTCTCTCGCAATTCTGACACTTTTCTCGCAATTGTGAGTTACTCTCTCGCAATTCTGATGTTTTTCTTGTAATTGTTAGTTTCTCTCTCGCAATTGTGACACTTTTCTCGCAATTGCTAGTTTATATCTCGCAATTCTGACTTTTTCTCGCAATTGTGAGTTTCTATCTCGCAATTCTGACTTTTTCTCTCAATTGTGAGTTACTCTCTCGCAATTCTGACACTTTTCTCGCAATTGTGAGTTACTCTCTCGCAATTCTGATGCTTTTCTCGCAATTGTGAGTTACTCTCTCGCAATTCTGATGCTTTTCTTGTAATTGCTAGTTTCTATCTCCAAATTCGGACTTTTTCTCGCAATTGTGAGTTTCTATCTCACATTTCTGACACTTTTCTCGCAATTGTGAGTTACTCTCTCGCAATTCTGATGCTTTTCTTGCAATTGCTAGTTTCTCTCCAAATTCGGACTTTTTCTCGCAATTGTGAGTTTCTATCTCACATTTCTGACACTTTTCTCGCAATTGTGAGTTACTCTCTCGCAATTCTGATGCTTTTCTTGCAATTGCTAGTTTATATCTCGCAATTCTGACTTTTTCTCTCAATTGTGAGTTACTCTCTCGCAATTCTGACACTTTTCTCGCAATTGTGAGTTACTCTCTCGCAATTCTGATGCTTTTCTTGTAATTGCTAGTTTCTATCTCCAAATTCGGACTTTTTCTCGCAATTGTGAGTTTCTATCTCACATTTCTGACACTTTTCTCGCAATTGTGAGTTACTCTCTCGCAATTCTGATGCTTTTCTTGCAATTGCTAGTTTATATCTCGCAATTCTGACTTTTTCTCTCAATTGTGAGTTACTCTCTCGCAATTCTGACACTTTTCTCGCAATTGTGAGTTACTCTCTCGCAATTCTGATGCTTTTCTTGTAATTGTTAGTTTCTCTCTCGCAATTGTGACACTTTTCTCGCAATTGCTAGTTTATATCTCGCAATTCTGACTTTTTCTCGCAATTGTGAGTTTCTATCTCGCAATTCTGACTTTTTCTCGCAATTGTGAGTTACTCTCTCGCAATTCAGATGCTTTTCTCGCAATTGCTAGTTTATATCTCCAAATTCTGACTTTTTCTCACAATTGCTACTTTCTATCGCGCAATTCTGACACTTTTCTCGCAATTGTGAGTTACTCTCTCGCAATTCTGACGCTTTTCTTGTTATTGCTGGTTTATATCTCGCAATTCTGACTTTTTCTCGCATTTGTGAGCTTACATTATATCATGCAATTCTGTCAGTTTTCTCGCAATTGCAAGTTTATATCTTGCAATCCTGACGTTTTTCTCGCAATTACGAGTTTATTTCTCACAATTGAGATTTTTCTCATAATGGCGAGTTTATATCTCAAAAGACTTTTTTCTTGCTATGGATTATATCTCTAAATTCTGAAAAAATTATCAGATCTGTGAGATGTCAACTCAAAACTCACAAAGAAAAGAAGTCACAATTGGCCAATCTAACTTTTTTTCCGAATTGTTAAATAAAAACTCACATTTACCTTTTGTACATTACTTAATTTATTTTGTTGAGGAAACAAGCTTCCATAGTTATGTATAAAAACAAATTCAAAGAGAGTGTACTTGTAATGTGCACTTGTAGCCTCACACGTCCAGTTGTTGTTCAGGAGGTCCTGCTGTGTAACTCCACGGTGGATGTGGCTCCTTGGAGACACGAGGTCCCAGAAGTGCATGTGGAATGTCAGACAGGTGTCATGGGGGTGAGCCACCCATCAATATATTTACACAAACATTATTTATATTCAATTATATAGATCATTTTCACCGCATGAAGTGTTGCGAACGATTTTCAAGGAGCCCAACATCTTGCTTACAGGGGTTCACAAGATTCAAACGGCCACCGGGCTGGTCTCCCATTAGGGCCATGCCCATGCTGCCGAAACCATCAGCCAATCCCAAAGAGTCCTCAGAGGAATCCAAGGAGCGCGTCAGTGCAACCAAACACCCAAAGCTGAACTGTCCTACCAAACCATGGAAAGAGTTCAAGCCCGTCACTGTAAGCATCGCTGCCCCGAACGCTACAGAGTCGGCCACAGCAGACACCGCTCTCAGCGATCAGGACTTGATCTGATGAGCAGCCCGAGTTTGTTTGTCTTTATGTGCTCTGTGGTTAAATGATTATCTAAAGAAGGGAAGGATGAGAGAAAATGCAACTAACATTCTTATAATGTGTTTATGGAGTTTTGTCATTCATTCATTTGTGGATTACAATAATTCACAGTTGTCTTCTATTTCACAATAAAGAGGAATATACAAATATGCTTTTTTGGATTTTTTTTTACAACACAATAAAATGTTCCTGAACTCATATCTGTTGTGTGTGTGTGACAGAAGACCCGAGAGCATTCATCAGTCAGCTTATATGATCCTTATTTCATACTATGGATAAGAGCAACACCAACATTGTTTTAATTACAATTCAATCGATACAAGAAACAATTTCAAACCGTTTTGGACTTTGACGAAGCATTTGTCGTTTAAAAGTGCAGATGCTTTTTCTGTGTTGCTCTAAACCCTCCTGTGGCGGAAACGAAAGTTACGGCTTTGCATGCGCTGATCTAATTGTTCAGCTCTTCATCAACGCTGAGATGTTTGCAATTCCCTAAAATGGCTATGTCTTGTCGTGGACGTTCCGGTGATGAAATGATGGTCTCCGGAAATAAAAACGGCTGGTAATTGTAGTCAAAGATGAGGTTAGGTGTACATGAGTGGTTTGATGTTTGCGGTTCATGGGTCGGAGGTATGAATCATCTCGCTGACGTTCTTCGGCCTTTCGGGGCGCCGTGAGGTCACGACCCCTGTCAAACACTGCGTCTCGTGTCGATGCGTTCAGAAACCCTGCGCAGAGAGCTTATAAACGCTTCAGATGGTCCTCCTGTCACACGAGAAGACTCGCTCACAACAGACAATCGCTCTCAAATCAGTCCTGCTCCTCGACACAATGGTCCGAGAACGGGTCTTCCTGCTAACCGTGACCTGCTCCGTCTTGATGTTGCTAGTGCGCTGCGATGACTTTCTAGAGATCCGCTCGCCAGGAGATAACATGAAGGCCCAAGAGGAGAAAGAACTGGTGAGACATCTTTTCCCAGTCAGGGAATAATCAATCATTATAGCATTCACATTCAACTATAATGGGTGAAAAACAAACATTTTACAGATTGAGGCTCTTCAGGAAGTTCTTGAGAAACTGAGGAACAAACAGATTCCCACGGCGGAGAAGAAGTTCGGGTGGGTTCCGTCGGTAAGTCCGTCCATCGTCATATACATATAATTACATGAGCAATAACAATGTGTAATTGGGTTAGGCACTTTAAAACTTGATTAATTATAACTTGATTATTTACACAATGACATGGAAATAAACAGGGTCGGAATAAAGAGCTAAAGTTTTTGTTCAGTCAGGAATTTGCCGTTTACAGGAGTTACTTTTGGGGTTTTTTAACATCTTATATACCTAATGTTATCATACCGACTTCATTAATTTTCTCAAACTTTCTTTTCTTAATCAACTTTTAAAGGGAAACAAACCAACTAATAGGTCACCTCAAACATTAATAATTCATCAAATCCATTTCCAATCCTGTTGTTTAAACATTAAGAAACTTGAAGGGATTGACTAAAGCCGCAAGCTCGCTCACGTCCCCCTAGACTCTATAATTTCTATAGAGTCGGTCCATAGACCTTATTCACAACAGTGCCATCTTTGGTGTTTAACAGGAATGAAAGCGAACCCTTGAACTTACATTAGTGTGATATAAAACTACCTAAAATGACAGAAACAACTTATTTGAGGTGTAATTTGGTGTTTTAATTTCGCTGGCATCCCATTAGATTACATGGAGACCTTTACTGCAGCCAGACACCAGGGGGCGCTAGAAATATTTTGGTTTACCTTACTTTTTAGGATTTGTGGCATGAGTCAGACACGATAGATATACACTAGACCTCGCCTTGTCCACAGCGGTTCATTTGAACGAATGCGTGAATAGAGCCGCCATCACGGCACAGGGGAGCCCCTCCTCTTTATGCATCAGCGTCAATGTAGGCAAAGGTCTAACGGAAATAAAATCGCCATAAATCGTCATGAATGCGATTTTCTAGGTTTTTTTTTTGGGGGGGTTCGTTCTAATGGTCAAGACATGTATTTATCATTAGCCAAGTTTCCATCCTCTTGTCAATCGAATTATATGAAGTTCGGTAAAAAACCTCATGCGAATAAAGCTGGTGAAAGTGTGTTTCCATCAAACGGCTTTAAAGCGAATAAAACCTGTGCGTAGTGACTTCATATGCTGTTTTGCAAACAAATTGGTATATTGAATTGATTTGAGACACGTTAAGGTGTTTCCATTCATTTTCTCACCAAATTTCACAACAAACATTGCTAGGCTAGGCAAAATGGATCACGCCATAGTAACGTTTTCATCAGCGTTTATCGCATAAGCCGTATATCGATCAAGATAAAATCCGATGAGACCGAACGTAATTCATTTGAGTCGATATTCATATGAAATTCAATCGAATTTTACTGTTTCCATAAAGCATTTATCATTCGATATCACTTTATGTAAAAAAGTGTGGATGGAAACAAAGCTGTTGAGTGCAGAGAAAATTTAAAAAAATATAAATGTAAATTAAAACATTCTGTCTAGTTTAGGTTTCTTGTGTGAACATCCATACGCACCACAAAAGTCTGAAAATCCCTGAATTTGAAGTACAGGCGGAGATTGCAGCGTTACCAATCTACTTCCTATGACATACCACCTGTTCCAAGATGGCGGCGGTTTTGACGCATGCTTAGAACAGAAAGGCGACATCTAGTGTATATGGTGGGACGCACAAGTCCTGAAAAGTGAAGTCAAAATCGCAAACACAAGACACTTAAAGGGTTAGTTCACCCAAAAATGAAAATTAAGTCATTAATTACTCACCCCCATGCTGTATCAACCCAGTAAGACCTTCGTTCATCTTCGGAACACAAATGAAGATATTTTTGATTAAATTTGAGAGCTGTATAACTACCACATTGGCTGCCTAAGGGACTGGCTCTTGACGGCCCAGAAAGACAATGAAGAAAATGTTTAAATATTCCATGTGACTACAGTGGCTCAACTATAAGTTTATCAAGCGACGAGACTTCCTTAGATTTCCACGACGCATGCGCGAGAATTGCGATCTCCTTTAACTACTTCAGTTCAGTTCTCGCGCATGCGTCGTGGAAATCTAAGGAAGTCTCGTTTCAGGGCAACAAGGAAGAAAAGGAATATTCGAATAAACTCGTTATTTTTGTTTGTTTTTGCACACAAAAAGTATTCTCGTCGCTTGATAAACTTATAGTTGCCACGGTAGTCACTTGGGATATTTAAACATTTTCTTCATTGTCTTTCTGGGCCTTCAAGAGGCAGTCCCTTAGGCAGCCAATGTGGTAGTTATACAGCTCTCAGATTTAATCAAAAATATCTTTATTTGTGTTCCGAAGATGAACGAATGTCTTACGGGGTTGGTACAGCATGGGGGTGAGTAATTAATGACTTAATTTTCATTTTTGGGTGAACTAACCCTTTAAGGTCATCTCCTTCACAAACACTGCAACGGTTGTGATATGACATCACATGTCTGTTTAAACATAAAATCAACATCAACAAATTAAATCCAGAAAAATATACAATCTACTTCACGTAACTGAAAAATTGTGCTCTTTTAATTCATGTCATGAACGTCATACAGAGGAAGTCAAAGGAACGAAAGGTGTAGTGTGACTGACCCTTAAAGGGATAGTTCACCCAAACATGATCTCACCACGAAGTCGTTCCAAACCTTAATGAGTTTCTTTCAGTTTAACACAAAAGAAGATATTTTGAAGAATGTCAGTAACCAGACAGTTGATGGACTACATTGACTTCAGTATTTATTTATCCGTTGATAGCCGCACCTTCAACTGATGATCAAATATCATATTTTGAATTAAAAAAAAGGTGAACTTTCCCTTTAACAGAATGAGAAGCAATAATAATAAATAATAAGATTTGTTTGGAGAAAGGACAAACAGAGGAAGATACTGTGATTACATTTAAAAAAAAATAATTGTTTAATAAAAAGATTGTTCAAGTTGTATTTAGCACTGCAATGTGTCGTAAAGGAGGAGTGTAACGCGTGTTGTGTCAGTGTGATGCAGGCGAGCAGTGTGCGGTGCGGAAGGGCTCTCGCTTCGGGAAGCTGTGCAGTTGTCCAGGAGGAACCAGCTGCAGTTTCTCCATCCTCAAGTGCTTGTGAAACATCTCGTCCTGTCATACCCAGCCGCGTATTGTGCCCATGCTATTTGATGTTTCCAGTCACAGTTGTAACATGTTTTATCAAACTGACGCATAAAATAAATGCATGCATTTTTGTATAAATCTCTATTTTTATTCAAAGTCTGATTACTCTGACAGCCTGTAAAACATTAAATGTCGTACTACTGTTGCACAGTCTAGTTGACTTGTACAAGAGCTTGCAATGTCATGGCCGGCCACAAGGTGGCGCAAAAGGAATATGAAACAAAGGAATCAGGAGTTGGTGTTATAGCAGAGCAATCAAAACAGTTTAAATATATTGTAAATTGGTTAGTAGAACTGGGGAAATGTTTTGGGGTCAAAGAGGACTTGAATATAGAATGAGTAATTTGTGTTTTATCAGATGCAAACTCCTCCCACAAAAAAAAAAAAGACTAGAAGGCAAATAGTAAATAAGACATTGACTATAACTTGATGGATTAGTTTATTCAAATAAGTTTTGATAAATAGTTTTCTCATCAAGAGAAGAGATGCTGCAAGAGGAAGGGGAAGATATTCTTATTCGAGATTACCAGGAACATGAATTTAAAATATGATGTGCACTGATAAATCAGTTATAATAAATACAGCAATATTCCTTAAAAAAAACCAAGAACTGTCCATTTTGATTTTATGGACTTAAAAAAAAGCCACACCAGTGACATATTTTTGGCGCTTTTAGGTTTTTAGTTTGTTAAATATATATATATATATATATATATATATATATATAATTTCTAAAATAAGAAAATTAAAAAGGTTAAAAAGACCCCACTTCTTTAAAAAGACCCCACTTCTTCAAATGCATATGGAATTTGCCTAATAAATACAGTAACTTTTTTTTAATTTAAGTTGACATTTTGAAAAGCAAAAAAGCACATCAAATGCACAAGTTTTCAGTTAATATGGTTCCAAAATGACAATTTGCAATTTCTTTATCAGCTGATAGGACACAAATGACGTCAGGACTATTCCCCGCCCCTCACATGTAAATTGTGGGTGTTTCCCAGAGCGCATCGCTGTGGTACCGTTGGGTAGTCCAATTCATTAGAAGTGATCGGTTCGTTCAAACGAATCATTTCAATGAACCGGTTCTTTCGGGTCTAAATTGTTACCAGAAGTCAACCATGAAGTCAAGTCAACACGCAGCATTTCGCCTAGTTTGTTTTGCACCTATATTGATATTTGGCTGTTATCAGCATATTTTCGATTAAGTTATATATATATAGTGTGTGTTATTGGTTGTATGTAAATGTGTAACAGATTCATTTGCTCTAACTGATCTGATTTGGCTTATCAATTATTCAAACTTTCTACATATTTGAAAAAAGAAATCATCTTTGTGTCAAATTCAATGTTGTTTGCTGCTCCTGTTTTCCTGTCACAGCAAGTTCCCCGTAATGAGAATCGATTCGGACGAATCGTTAAAAAGAGCCGATTCAAATGAACAGTTCGTTTGCGAATCGGACATGCCGAATTTGATAAACTTTGCAACATGGCGGCGGACCACATCGGCGAGTTGGCAAGCATGGAAAACTCCAACCGAAGCGCTCGTCCCGGTTTCTGCAGCGATAAATACTCTTTGCTCGTCATTGTCGGACAGCCCGGTCCGGCTGGATTTGTGGATTTACTAGTGTCCGAGATTGAAAGAGGTAAACATTTTGTCTTACTGGGGATGGTGACTGAATGAGAGCCAGCGCGCGCGTCTCTCGCCCATCACTCTCTACGTCATGAAGTGAAAAATCGCTGAAAACAATATAACTAATTTATCACTGCAGCGTCTTCAGAAAATGACGTCAGTGTCTTTTTGTAACTCTTGTTGCTGGAAAATTATTATTAGTACAAATATGTTGGAATATAACAAGGAAGAACTATTTTGTAGTTTCATCCATATTCTGTTGCCAGTTTAATCCTATTAAAACTTTAAAATGTAACTCAGTATTGAGGACTTGCTAATATAAAAGCCTGGGTGATATGAATGGGGAGGTTTGGAGAATTTTATTTGAATTTCTCTTGAAAGCTGTGACATGGCATGGATGTAACCATATACTAACTCTAGAGACTCCCTTTTGTTCATAAATGACCTTGACCTCCTTTCATTTTGTCTGCTGAGTGGGAACTAAAAGAGATGAATGCCCACTGAGGGCTCATATACACATATTTACTGTTGAACAGGGCTCTCAGCTTTCAGCAATGCCAGGAGTCCTGTGAACCCAGCGAACAAGATGTGTTCTAGAACGTGTTGCGAACATTCCCATTAAGTTCTAAAAATGTTATTTCGAATATGTCTTGAATATTGAATATTTGAAAGCATCCCTAAAAGGTGCATAATAGTACTGTTCGGGGGTAAATGAGGTACAAAGATGTCCCTTTTGGGTTACTTCCCCCCCAAAATGAAAATTAACCCTTGATTTTCAGTCTCTGAAGCCATCCTAAGTGTATATGACTTTCTTCTTTCAGAAGATCAGAACATATCCTGGCCCTTCATTTTCCTTTGTTGACGGATGCACTTTTATGATGGATAGATGCACTTTTATCATGGATAGATGCACTTTTATCATGGATAGACACACTTTAATCATGGATAGATGCACTTTTGTCATGGATAGACACACTTTTATCGTGGATAGACACACTTTTATCATGGATGGATGGACTTTTATCATGGATCGATGCACTTTTATCATGGATATGCACTTTTATCATGGATAGATGCACTTTTATCATGGATA